TAGAAAGACCCCAAGTAGTTTTCATTAAAAATTCACATTTGTACAAAAGTCGGATGGGCTCCTCATATAGGACCTAATAGGTTTTGATAACTTCGCTACTACATCAATAAAAATAGTTTTTAGAAGAAACTCGCCGAGGAAGTATTTTTGTTTATATACAATTTTATAATTACCCTGTAAAGAACAAAATGTTGTATGATATGCCTACTTATCGAAGACTAACTATATATTCAAAACCTCCTATCATCGATTTTCACAAAAAACTACTTTTTGACCTAAGAACTTGTCTTAGACTTAACTGTCATCACCAGGGAACGGATTTTTAGGACCTAAAACCATATAAAAAAGGCAAAATAAAACAACCAAATAGGCAGGAAAAGGCACTAGAACTCGCAAAAAGGCAAAATAAGGCACTAAAAAACGACAAAAACCGAAAAATTATAAAAAAATACATTTATTTTAGAACTGTTTATTTTACAAGTAAAAGTAGGAAAGCTATGAACTAATTTCATTATATGAACAATTTGTACTTTGAATCTTTTGACTATTTTCTCCTTTCGAGGTTTTAGCTCCAAAGACTTTTCGTAGTTGTAGTAACATTGAAGATGCATTTTGAAGTTTTCTGGCGGCATTTTATTTCGATTGTCGCGAATTAAAACTTTATATGTACTAAACGTGCGCTCGAAGTGAGTGGATACAATTTAAATATGGAACGTTTAAAGCTTTAATATTATCAGGAATAAGGGCTTTTTCCTTGCCCTTGACAATTAAAGTAGAAGAGGCAACAAAAGGCAACATCAAATGTGTATATATGGAATCAGGAAAAGTTAAATCCTGGACATCTTAATCGATTATACTCTATCGCTTTAGCAGAAAAAGATAATTTCCATAAATACAGTGAATAGTTAATTCTTCTAACAAGAAGAATTCAGACAAAGTCTAACATCAGAAAGTACTTTTTTAAAAAACATCGCTAAAAGCAAATTTTGAATATAATACCTCTATATGTATTTATATGGAGAATATCCTTAAACTTTAATTAACATATGTAACATACTCATCTTCAATCCTCGGAATTTGGTTTCTTCGTTGCCTCACCGCAAAGTTCTTCACTTAGTATTTGTGTTGTTGGGCTTCTCAAAAATACAGATCAAACCGAACCATTATAGTGTGAGTTAACAGTTAATTAACTCAATGAGAGGGGAGATCAGTACATAAGTCTAACGATGGTCTTCTGCAATAAGGACACTACTCAAAATTTCATATTTTTCAGTAGAGGCAATTAAAGATTTTGCGTTTCGTAATTTAACAAAAATGTGTCTGGGAACGTTACTACATATTTATTCCAAATTATTTGCAGTCGGCTTGTAGCGAAAATTTATAACCTTTCAAGTTATACCTTTTCTAAAGATTTAGTGAGATTTCACTGAAAAAGTACGAAATAAGTAACAACTCCTAAGTAGCTAACCGAAAATAACTCCAGTGGTGTTACTAAACAACGGCACAAAACCAAAAGTGTCGATATTTCACATAAAAGCATAACTAACCTATCGACAGTTTTTTTTTACTTATGCCAATATCCGCAATAAATGTGCGACATGTGCCACTGTTCAGTAGTGAGGGTTGCCTACTTCGGTTTTGTGGCCAATGGCAAAACTGCGCCCCTGCTGTCGGATTGGTAACATCTAAGCATATCGAGGGCTTATATTCAATACTCTCTATATGCAATTTGCACAAAAATGTTGTTCTGATATAAAAATCCACCTAAGGGCCAGTTTTTCAATGCACGGTTGTGGTTTAAACTAAGATTAGTCAATCAAATGCCAGCCAGCTGTTAAATTTAAAAGCGAATTTACGTAATCTAAGTTTAGACTCGCACTGAAAAACTGGTCCTAAAACTTAACTGTCATCGGTGATATTAAAGCTGACCTTGATCTGATTCGCTCGACAGAATTGCAAAGTTAGAGTTAACATCAGTGATGACACGTAACTTCCAGATGGGTTCCAACATCATTTATAAACCTTATCCGATATATATGTAACTAAAAAACATGAAATTTTAAGTTGTGCCGTTTTGCAGAAGACCATTTATGTAAAAAAGTATTTATCGGACCTCTGCATGGTTGTAAGCCATGGTTTTGCATCTTGAACTTTTTTTCGTAAAAGAAGGAGAACTTTATTACTTTTTTCACCAAATATTTTTACAAATAAATTTATTAGCAGTCTGAAAAAATATTTCTAATTCATTCTCCTCCTTCCGTGCCTCGATTAGAACAGAAGGATAGGATTTGTCGTTTGTTTTAAAGGAAGTAAATCAAGTTGCAAGTAAATTTCTACCTAACACCGTGTGACCTTTAACTGACCGCGAAAAAGTTGTGAAATACTTTTGATATTTGGGATTTTGGCATCGATTCGTTGATGCCGTAAATTGGAAAGCATATAGCCGAAGAGTTTCAGAAAAAATATGCTGGTAAATTTTTCTCCACCTTCCCTAGTCTTAAAGCCGACTTTAAAGGTCGAAGGCAAGCACTCGATCATAGCGCATTCACAAGCGCGCATAGTACTGATGGCCAAATGAATCTTTTCTACAATTTCCTCAAGATTATCTTTCTCCAAATGTCAACATACAACACAGAGCTTGAATCTGTATGTCGAAGCTATTTGCTGAATTAGTTTGCTTTGTGTAAAATGAAAAAAGGCAGCTAAAGCCATTAAGGTGCACCCGACTTTGACGAAATGTCCTTTTAGTCTTTTGGTCGATATTGTTATCCTGCGCTGGAAATTGCACCATTTCCGCACATATTTTTCACCCGGCTGTTTTATATCTAAGTTCTTACATATGTATATAGATATGTACATTAGGGTAGGGTAATTTAACTTCGAATAAAGTGTTTGGCATATTCAAATTCTACGTTCGATTCAAAGCAAAAATGGTGAAAAAACTATATACCAAAAAAGACGTTTGAACCTCCCAATTTTTAAAAGAAAAATCAGTGTATTATAACTTCTTCTGAATGAAATTAATTTTGCATTTACAAAATTTTGTGTGTTTTCTTTATACAATATGCTGATTTTTCTTTTGCAAATTGGGAGGATCAAACGTCATTTTTGGTATACATATACATAGTTCGTTCACCATTTTTATTTACTTAGAATTAATCGTAGAATTTAAATTTGCTATACACTTTCTTCCAAAATTTTACTCACACAAATGACTCTGGCCTAATGTACATATGTACATATATATGTACATTTGTATGTGTGTATGCTTTGCGATTCCGATTGCGATTGCTTGTCCAAGCAACCATTTTGAAGATGGAAAATCAAAACCACAATTGCATGTTACATACAAACCCACGCACACATGCACACACACACACACACACAACCACCCGCGCAGAGGCAACAAGAGATAAACTCTCGATAGCATTGTCGCTTAGCAAAAGCGCTACAACAATGTGCAATAACAACAACGAGGACGTAGACAACGGCGACGGCGGTCAAACTAAGGACATAACCGCACTATGTTCGCTGTGGTCGCTGCTATCGCATCCGAAACACAACAGTCTGGCTGGGTGAGGGAAGCGAAGTGACCGAGAGCCGTACGAAAGGTTCGTGGCCGGAAAATGTGACAACGAAATTGGATTTCGTACAATGCAAAGAAAATGGAGAAAAAATGAACCAAAATTATATACAACACATAAAAGTAGTGGAAAAAGCAAAGAAAAAAAAAACAAAAACAAAAAAGAAGCGCCCAACCCGTAAGTGGTTTCGTAGAAAAATCTCTGCGGCGGCTGGCTATGCGCTTGTGTTGTGGCTTTGAAGCGAAATAACATCGCATAATATGTGTTCATTGTTCCAAAGTGAAAAATGTCGTTCAAGCAGGACATGTGAAGGCTTGCACCGTATACAATGTGTGTATGTGTGCGCCAATCGATTGTCGGTCATAGCCGCGACTCGGGCTAAGCAAATAGCCATCAAAGGTAGCAGATGCGCCGCAAGACGACTTCCGAGCTTCCGAGTGCGATTAAGAATCGATTTCATTTATTCCACTAATGAAACTATCGCCTGAAGATTGATTAAAGAGCTGTACATAAAACAGATTTGAAGTATTTGAACTTCACATTTACAACTCAGTTTTTAATTAAACTAACTGAAAAATACAGCTCGCAGCAAAAGCATCAACACGGGATTCGATTTTATCCTTCAGTGTTTTTCGTTTTTATTTCCAATACAAGGTGCAAGATTTTTAATTAAGACTCATAACTTTTCTTCAAGTAATTCCACTCCATTGTGATGCACAGTTGCGCACCTTGCGCACGGCAGCTTGGCACATTCCTTCATTTCATCAATGCTTCTTCGAGCAGTTATTATTAATTACAGAATTCAACATCACTCTACGGCCAGAAAGTCCCAGCGGAAAAGAGTAACTTCATTGTTTTATCAGTGCAAAAGAAACTTCGCGATATTTTGTAGCAACAACAAATTACAAAAATAAAGAAAATTTTTCAACAAAAGTGGAGTTTAGTTCCAAGTTAATTCTACGTAAGTGGAAAATAAAAATTGAAGCTGGCGTGCAAGTAAGAAATCGAGATTTTTTGCCAAAAAATATGTTTCAGTTAAAGCGTTAAAACGTATTTAAAGCTGCTTTCATCATCAATCGTCGAGTAACTGTACACCCATTTAGCGTCTGTATATTTGGTACATATATAGATAACTTTATGTGTATCCATGCTCATAATTCCGGCGAAAAACATGAAATTTCATTATTTATGTTCAATTAAAGCCCACTCGCCGGCGTCTTGGCAACCTGAGTCGCTCGCGTGCGATTCTGCTTCGAGGGGCGGTGCGTATACGTAATCTGAATAGACTTTGGCGCAGTTGGCGTTCTTGGCGTCGCCTTGCTTGTGCTCTTCTGTAATTTTGCGCCGAATTTGATGCTAATTAATGAACTTCATTGATTTGCCTGCACCTCGCTCTCCTTCTATTCTTCCAACTAGGTTTGACGTGCTCGTAAACGGCGGCGGTGCAGTTACGTTGCAGTTTCAGCGCTCTCCCTTCAGGCCGCTCACGCGCACCGTCTTTGTGCCATGGAATCGAATTGTGGTGTTGCCGCCCGTGCAGATGCAGCTGAGCGACGATGACGAAAGCAATGGCCGCAGCATAAAGTAAGTTTCAGGCAGCCATTCGGTTGCCCGAGTGCAGGATTAATTGAATCGCCCGGATCTAATTTTAATAATTACGAAATTTGATGTTGCGGTTTTCTTTCAGAGTGGCTCCAATGAATCCAGCGCTCACTTTCCTCAACTCCATACTCTACCACTTCGCCGATGAACAGGCCGATGTGAACAAAATATGCGTGGAGCATGACCACGAGGAGCTGAAACCCCAATTAATTAGCACTTGGATGCCGAACGGCGTGGGCGCCATGCCGGGCAAGCGCGTCATATTCGCCGAAACGCAGGTGAGTAAAGACAGTCCAGCGCCACATCGCTGGCGTCAATTCCCCCTCCTACCCACCCATCGTGCACTCAGTCGGGATACGAGGTTATCGCTGCTAACCAATTTAAATAGAATTTGCTGCTCTAACTTAATTAGGTAGTGGCGACGCGGCTCTGGTAAAACTGTCACGTTGCAAGCAATGCGCCACTTGGCTGCAGCTGGATGAGCTTGTCTCTGCTACCATGAATGTTTATGGTTTGTAGCCTTGTCTCTCCACTGCTTACGGGCCACATCTTCATCCTCATCCACCTGGTAGCGACCCAGCTACACACTGTTTGAGCTTAAGCTACGCTTGATTATTTTTTAAGTTCTCTTGCACTTGAAGCCACCCGTGTGCTTTCCTTGCGAATGGAAAGAAAACAATATAAAAATTATAAACATTACAGTTACACTGGTGAAGACTACAGCTGCCGAGTGCATGGAGAAAAGTTTCTGCTCGACCTTGCATTATTTATGATGAGCTTAGGGTAGTGCACAGCAGCCCAGGCGCCGACAAAAATAACAAAAACAGCCACACTCGCCACTATGCTGGCGTCGCCTCATCGACCCCACGCCTTATACTGTCCCCTGGCTGCTTGCTGTTGGCTGCTGGCACTGACATCAGCTGTCTCATCCGAGTATTTTAATTAAATTAAAATAAACTAAGAGCACTTTTAAATTTTCCCAGAGCCCTCGTTTGTAAATGGGGGTGTCTTCCTAAATACGTTTCTGCAAAGCATGAATGGGGTTGCCGGCGAACTTGGCTTAAATGATTTGCTCCTTGGGCATCTTTCGATTAAAATTTCCTTATTGTGTGCACGGGTGCAGCTAAGAACATTTACTTTTGCAACTTTACTAAAATTTTGTTCCTCTTCCAGATCGTACAAGAATCAATACAGATACCTGGCTCTGACTTGCATCTCACGTATCAGTCTTCGCAAGCCTCAGGCTACTTGAGCATCGTACGCATGCGCCTTACCGCGGAAAAGATACCAAAGACTCTGACGCATGTTCATGTGGGCGTGGAAATCGAGGGCGCACTTCACGTGAAGACGTATGAGGCCGATCCCAACTTAATACACACGTTCGCCTGGAACAAACGCAATGTCTATCGGCAGAAGGTCTACGGCGTCACCATTGCACGCATTTCCGTCGGCTACCAGCACTCGACCTGCAAGATGCCAGTTTGGATCACTCAAACCGCCAAGCTACAGGGCTATGACGTCGACATTTCAGACATCGGGGGCTGGGGGCTGGACATACACCACCACTACAATTTCCACGAAGGCATATTACAGAAGGGGGATGGCAGTACGCTTCACATGAAAGAATACCCTCGCACCGTAAAGGTGGTGATGGGCACCGGCTTGCAACGTCCGCTGAACTGTCCCGACCACTGCAACGGCATAGCCAAGGACGCCAAGCTACTCACACCCATCGCGTTGGCATCGGGCCCAGACGGCAGCCTGTACGTGGGCGATTTCAACTTGGTGCGACGCATCACACCTGATGGCAAAGTCTACACAATACTGCAACTGAGTGCCACACAGGTTTCCTATCAGTATTACCTGGCAGTGTCGCCCGCAGATGGCCACCTGTATATATCCGATCCGGAGCGGCACCAAATTCTAAGACTGCTGCGTTTAGAGAAAGTGAAGGACCCCAGTATCAACAGTGAGCCCATTGTAGGCAGCGGACAGCGTTGCATACCCGGTGATGAGGGCAATTGCGGTGACGGAGGCCCGGCGTTGCAGGCTCGTCTTTCGCATCCGAAGGGGCTGGCCATTGCCGCAGATCGCACCATGTACATTGCTGATGGCACCAACATACGAGCGGTGGATCCCAAGGGAGTCATACACACACTGATTGGACATCATGGCCACCACAACCACTGGAGCCCAGCGCCTTGCTCTGGCACTCTAATGGCAAACCAAGCACAACTTCAATGGCCCACTGGTCTGGCGCTCAGTCCACTCGACGGTTCTTTGCATTTTATCGACGATCGGCTGGTGCTGCGCCTGACTTCGGACATGAAGATTCGCGTTGTAGCTGGCACGCCCCTGCATTGCAACAACAATGGTCAAGACAAATCGAACAAGACGTCGGAGAATGTGCTGGGCACAGTGCTGGCAATGGCGTTCTCGCCATTCGGTGATCTCTACATCGCAGACAGCGACTCACGACGGGTAAATTCAATTCGAGTGGTGGACACAGCGGGAAATATGCGCTACTTTGCTGGCAAGCAGGAGGGTCTGGGGTAAGTTTGAAAAACTGTTTAGCACACCATAATATACACAGTCGTAATAAACTTTGAAGACATTTTAACATTTCCACTTTGATTCACATAAATTTTTTGCCATATCACTCAGACTAAACATATTTAAAATCTCACAAACGAATGAAATTTAAGGAGACTACACTTTCAGCATTTTTCTCACTAAGGCCAACCAGTAAATTGGTATCGAATGCCAACGACCTAAAAATATCAGTTATTTGATACGCGATTCCCTCAAACCAATCCTTTTAAATATTCACAGCGCTGTTTGCGGCTCCTCCATTGCATTTTTTTATTTTCGCTCTACATCCAATCTTCCGGAATTCGCGCAAATGCGCCTTCACTCCTCCCCTGACGTACAAACTGGCGTCATTACCAACAGCTGACAACATTGTCAAGCCGAGTGTATTGGTGATGCTTATACATATCTGCAAGTCTTTATGGCTGTCAGCTGCAAGCATCTCCAGCCAAGGCTCCACCATAGCGGCGGCCCAGCCGGCCAGCAACAAATGCATAGAATGGCAGAGTAGCAAAGAGCCTAGCCGTATACTGGCTCATTTGTTGTGTGTATGGTTAGTTCTTTCGTTCGTTCGCCTTTTAATCTGTCGCTGTTTGCCTAACTGTTTTGTCAAGTTGTTAATTTTTCACTGAATACTTTTCTGTTGATAACCCAGGAACTCATTGCACATCACTCCTCGTGCTTCTCACACATTGGCCGGAGCATACTGCCATTACTTTTTGCGATGAGCTCTGCCATTTTCCATGCCTCATTGCTCTCTTGCCAGACCTTATGCTTGCTGTGGGGGACAATTTCAGTTTTTGCTACCCCATTTTTGAGCCACGTCCCCCCTGGTATCATTTTCACTTGTCGCTGGTTAGTTTGTTCTCGTACATAACCTTGTGTTAGCTTGTCATAGTTTTCGATGCACGCGCTGTTAAGCGCCCTAATCGTCTGCGATATATGAGCGGTGTTTCGGTGGTCTCAACCTCTAAAACTTCCTTTATTTACTCGCGTTATGTCATTAAGTACCGAGTTCATTTGTTGCACCCAGCCCCAATCCAGAAACCAAGTTGACGCATCTGCAGCAGCTCATAACCATTTCAGCGTTTGCTCTGCAATAAAACAAACTCATCTGCCTCATTCCCGTGGGTGGGCGCAACAATGCAGCCAAGTGCGCGTAGTTCGTCGCGGTCGTTGTGGCCAACTTGCGAAATCGGAGACCATGGCTCGTACATCACTGTCACTGTCTCGGCTCATATTTCTCTTTCCACAACCACACACACCTACTAATGCACAAACACACACACACATGCTCATTCATACTGCATTTTTTAAGCTAAGCACTCATCAGTTCGCTTGTTTGCCAACTCCGTACTCAACACCTCTCCTATGCTCTGCTCTTCTCTTTCACAGTTCACTAACCTGCGATTGCTCCAATGGCAACACTGTCAACAGTTCAACATCCGGTCTGGCCTCGGCGCTTTCATCAACCGGCAGCGGCGTCGCTGGTAGCGCCTACTCAACGACAATGAATCCGAAACGTACCACCACACCAACAACGCCGGCTGGCAGCAACGGACACGGCAACAACGGCAATGGCGGCGGAAGCGGAAATGGTGCTGTCTCTGGCTATGGTGCTGGTGCAGGCAACGGTGCGGGTGTGGGTGCTCCCTGCATTTGCAGCGGCGGCGGTGTCGGTGTCACGGTCGGCGCTCCCAGTGGACTGGCGGGCATCGTGGCCGGTGGTAATTTAATGTCAACTGGACCAACGACAACCACAACAATATTGCTGGGCGCCAAAACAACAGCTGCAGCTAACGGCATGGGCGGCGCCATGAATGATGATGGCACTTTGAGCAACGCGGAGACCTTGCTATCGTCGAATGCTCGCTTTCAGGCGATTTCGGCCATTTCGGTGGCGCAGGACGGCGTCATTAATGTGGCGGATCAAGGTAAGCTGCGCAAATAAGCGCCAACAATAATACTTTTCATACCTGCTAAGGAAGTTGAGCATTTTGCTAGTACAGTTAGGAGATAGAAATGATAGGAAAGCGACAACCACTTGACGCGGACAGTTGCAGGGCATTTCAAGCCAGATCAAACGGTGCACAAGATATTTTGAGATATGAAACAAAGCAAGGGGGGTTTTACTTAAATTGAAGAACCAAAGAGAATTAGTGGCAACTTTATGAGCATTTTCACTTCATTTAGATTTAAATGCTGAAGATCAGCTATTACGGACGCCTACTTTTCAAGGAGTTTGCAAGAACTTTTGTTCAAATTTTGAATGCGCTGCTCCAACAAGAGTGCTTGCTTTATTAAAATTTGCATAGCTGATGTTGCCTCCGCGCGCGCGATAGCGACTGAAGTGCCTTCGCGACCAATGTTCACAGACTCAGTTTGCATAATTTTGGCTTTTAGGACTGTCTCTCTCCGCAAATCCATCACACAGAGAGGCGCAAGTGTGCACATAGGGCAACCCCTGTATGCTGCCTTCCGCCCCTACGCACATAGCCTTTGGTGATTAATGCCGCCGTCATCAACTTTAGCTAATAACATTGATTTTCACTTTTTTGCCTTTCGCACATTTTGCACACACACACAGCCGCCGCTGACCTATCGGTGTAGGCGTGCATAGCTCCAGTGTAGTTCGCTGCATCTTTTAGGTGTTGTAGCAGATGGAGGATGTATTGTGCTGATGATGGTGGCGCTGGGCGGGCTGCCGGGTGACCGGGCTGCTAAGTTGCTGTAACTTGATTAATTACCCCTATTGATTTTTCTTACTGAATATTCCATGCAGCACAGACACTTGCGTCAGACTCACATCTACACTCTCGTAGCTCCCCACAGCTCACTCTTTGCTGTTTTTACATTTCTTTTCGGATATTTCGACGACTGCTGCTAATTTCACTACAGACATTTATTAATTATATTGGCTCTTATCTAATTAAGCCTTGGTAATGCGCACAAATTTATACCTTTACACGGCCATATATGAAAGCGGCAAAAAATGCAAGGCAGCTAACAGCAAACGCGACAGACGATATAAACGATTTATCACTTCAATTCGAAGAGGGGTGGAAATACGTGTAGATATTGATTTATAGCGCAAACGGGGCAACAACTGACGGAAGGCGTCGATTAAATGTGTACCTACATATACACTCCGTGTCAAAATTATATACGCACCACATATTGACAAGTTTTAAGATTTTTTATTTTGGTTATTTAATTTTAGTTAGTTGTTTTTTTAAATATAGTCCATTTTTTTACAAAAACCATACTGCTAGCTTAGTGGGCAAAGTTGCTAAGTCCATTTTTTTAATTTTACAGGAGAGGAAAAAAACTTCTTATAGCCACTACGTTCAAGTATTTCGCAAAGCTTTGAATAAATACAACATTTTGTGTGTTTAAAGCAAAGAAAAACTCCATTAGAATAAGACCAATTCGATCTTTATTAAGAGATTTCGTATCAGTTTGGTTTTGTCGGATTTTCGGTGCCTCTTTTGGACTTAGCAAATTTTCCTTTCATTGAATATAAACGAGAAAAAATAAAACAAGTATGTACTTTAATCATTTTCAAAACTATGCATTTTTAGTATCCCTGGCTTCCTATATCAAAATATGAGTAAAAAGGGAACTTAGCAACTTTTAACCTAAGCTAGCGATATACATATGTTCAATGTATGCAAGAAATCAACATATTTCGTAAACATTTCAAGTGGGGTTTAATTAGATTTCTTAGAAAGATTTTGAGTAAGCAGTTTTGTAGCCTATTCGATTTTAATACAACAAAGTTTGAAGCTTTTGCTCATTTTCTTTTATATCGGAGAAATTCGTCCAAATCAGTATGGTGCCACCCTTTCCACAGTAAGCAGGTAGCATTGTATATAGATAAAAAAAATATTGGGAAGGAAGGCCTTTTCTTTAAGTCGGTTAAATATCAAAAAAATATACTCTGAAAACTTGTCAATATGTGTGTAGTTATATTTTTGACACGGAGTGTAATTAGGTTACGGGTCGCGGGGGATTTAATTACCTGGTCATTAACTTTGCTACTGCTCACATCTACCAACAACTATCAGCTGTATATGGTAAGGATAACAACCCGTAGTATCGACTGCTAAGAAAATAATAGAAATAGTTGAGCAGAAAATAAAAACATTGATTTTTGCATCGATTTGTATCGCAATAATAATAGTCGATGCTGGAAGGATATCGTCAGAAAAATTTCTGTAGTTAGTGTCTTCTTCTACTTCCGGTTAGTAAGGTATATAAATAGTTCCGTGTCGCCTGAAAAAAATTCGTCTCAAATATTTACATAAGTACTCGCAAAAGATGATAGCTCTCTCAACCATGGATAATAGTGCTGTTGATCTTCTTACTCCCTTTTCAGACGGAGTAAATAGTTTGCAGATTTTGTTTCTTCAGTTTTGGTTAATAGCTCTATTCTGCGCTGTTAATAAACTTTTTGTAGCCGGTAAATAAAGTTCCTGTAAATTTTTAAGCCCTTTCCGCATTCTTTGCAGTCTTGTAACCGGTAAATTTTGTTACCATCTCATAAGCTCGTAACAAATGATTGCCCCGTGAAATATGCAATGCCAGAATTTCAACAATTCTTCATAGCTGAATTGCTGAATATTTTAACTGTATTACCATCGTACCCAGAATCGCGGTGACAAGAACTGGTAACATTTTTGGTAATAAAATTTTTCGGTTACAAAATCTTCTGTAAAGTGCAGAATAGTTTTAGTTTAGTAGCGGTTACTGAGTGGTAATTATTTCGTCTTTGTACTTTTTGAGGTGCAGAATCAGTGAGTCCCTTTTTGATGGAGGGTTTTCAATGAAGTTTTTCAATTGGTTTTGTGGGTAAACAATGGTTCTTTCGAGCGATAGCATTGGTCCAGCGACCTTACTCAAACAATTTGGATAGTGATCTGAGCGTTATTCGACACAGGATTTTACAGCGAGTAATTCATGTGAAATATATTTCAGTATGCGCTTCGAGATATTTCTTTGCTTGCTTCAAGGTCGTTATATTTTAGCAAACTGCATAGTAAATATTTGAACAAATTTTGAAACAATTTTTAATTAGTTTTGAGCATAAAAATAAAAACTCGTATATTAAATAAAAGTATATATAATTCACGTGCATCTTAAATTTACCAACCAAACAATATATTTACTCCCAATCTGCATACCTTTAGCTTGTGTACATACATACATACATACAAATATATTCATAGTTACCCTTTCTCCCTCTAATATCGACTAATTTTGTTACAAATCAGTTCACACTTGATTGCTTTCTAAGTTTTATTTAAGCAATCCTTAGTGAATACCCTGCAGAGAATTGCTCGACTAATCTCCAAAGAGAGTATTCCAAGATTAGTCTCATACCAATATAATTCTAGATCAATTAGTCCCCGACTCACGTCTAACCTATTTAAGGCTGGTTGTTCAATACCTGATTAACACAAATCGGAGGTAGACGCTCCGGTTAAGTACAACGACTGCTTTATCGATCACATGTTATTTGCTGGATGCCGATAACGTCGATAACGATGTTTAACTGGGAGCTAGAATTAACCAGACATGGTGCAAACGGCCCTTAGTCAATGAAATTCCAAGTGCGGCGTTGGCACATAGAGAAGGTATTCGCTTAACAAACCTGAGAACCCCGTGTGGGGTATTAGTCGCATGCTCCTTTGCGATTGCTCCTGGAGTCATCCCAGATTAGACGCATTTCTTGCAGGGTATGTACGCATTTGTGTATGTGCATATTCATACGAGTACATATGGAAATGTGTTTTTATGCCTGTATGCACATACACAAATGAGAAAATATAAGAAAGTACACTTGATTGCGTTAAGTGCCTGCAAAAATGTTATTGCGGCAGCTCCGGAACTCGTGTCCTGGGAATTCGGCTGTATTCACAGCAGAGCTCGAACGCATGACAAATCGACAACCAGAACGCCAATAACAACAATCATACTAAGCAAATGAACTGTGATGCAATCATCAAACCGACTGTGATGAACTCGCAAGTGCACGCACACACACACACAAACGCACATTCAGTTTTGTACATACTGTGTGTGTGTATGTATGGCTTTGTAAATGGAAACGAATGATGACTGCAAATACAATATCACGCTCATTTGAGTTGGAATAAATGACGAGCATGGCAAATAAATTGCAGAAAAGGAATTTGTTAAGTTTAATTGCTTCGATGCTTACCATCTCGGCTACAGATATCTATCTATGTACATAAATTTATGAACGAAATGATTTTATGTTTCATAATTCATTGGCTACGAAAGTAATTTAACTGGGCATTTTAAGTAATTAAGTACTTTTATATTTAAAAAAAAAAAGTATTAACTATTCAGTACCATTCACTTAACTTAATTCACTAACAGTTTCTACAAATGCAAACAGTCACACATTTACGCAACCACAGCAGAGAATTTTAATAATTTATTCCTTAAAAATTTTATACTTTTCACAACTTAATAAACACAAAATATCTATAAAAAACGAAATGGTTTGTAAAGTTTTGCTTCGATGCATACTTTTCAAGCGAAAAACCAGGAGGAATAGTTACATAAGCGTCCATGTGAAATTCGAAAGGCAAATAATCTGATTAGGTTAGGCGGGCTATTTTTCGCAACAGTTCACTGGGTAGTCACAAAGGCCCAGAGGGGAATAGTTCCCCTAAATATACTTACATCGTACTGATGTTTTGACTTATCAGGAGCGTCCCCGTAGAGCGGCGATACCTAATCTGCCTATGCCCTCGAAGAAATGGTCAGAGAGATTTGAAGCCCTTTCTTCGTGGTGCAAGTTATTTGCCAGGGCACACGCGTTACTCTTCGTCCGTCCAGATTAGTACACCTTCCCTTAGTATCTACTATGGAACTTCCTTTGTAGGACATCGCCCGTTACTCG